TCAGTTTCCAACCTTACCTGCTCACCTCCTCATCCACACCTCTCCCCAGCACACCACACACCCCTTCAGCAATGGTCTGAGTGTGCCCATGCAGTGAGGAAGGCCAGAGCAAGAGGCCAGCACAATGCCCTGCTCGTTGACACACTTGGTACTGACTGTCTACCTATCATCACTTGCAACCTTTAGTCCACCTTCTCACATTATGACTAAAAAAATTCAGATTCCTGCCAAGGAGTTCATAGACCCTTCCTGACATGGAGCCTATTCTGTTCTCCAGACGCCTTACCTCCTTTACGTGGGTGTGGAAGGACACCGACATGTCCAGTAAGATCTTCCTCTGCTCCACACGCCGGACGAAATCTTGTATCCGGTCTTCAAGCTGATGGGCAGCCTGATAAATCTCTTCCGGGTCACACTCCCCAGTCTGAGCCAGCTGCTCTGCCGCTTCTAGCAACTTATCTGCATTGGTGTATGTGTTCTGTACAAGAGAACATCCAGAGAAAGAGAAGGTGAGTAAAGTACAAGGCAGCCAGGCTGGGCGTGACAGTAAGCAGCAACACAGACAATCTGTGGTATCATTTCCTTAGATCAAGCAGAAAGAAACATGATGGCAAGAGATGATTTTAGGCACTCAACGCTTCTGTATCAGCAGCCTTTTCCATTGTCTTGTTTTAGGCCGTTAAACTCTGAACCTCATGGTCAAGCTCTTTCACCTAAAGCCGTGATCTGTCGGCAGTTGCTGCTGCCACCTGACTCATGTGGGGCTCTCAGATATTTGCCACTGGGCACCCAGAGACATCACAAAGCCACAAATGCCTGTTGTACTTTTCCCCAGGCATATGACAGAGTGGGGAGCTCCAGTTCTGTCTTTCGGTATAATAATTCCCAAAGCACAAGTTAAAAAGTTCCACGCAAACACAAGTAGCTGTCCCTTTCCACGTGTTTCTATGTATCGGTCATTCTCTGGTTATCTTATTTCTATTTAAGAGTGCACATCTTTGAAAACAAGGAACTCTGACTATAAAGTTGTCAGGGCTTTAAAGAGCTGAAAGTTAAGTGGAAATAGGTGTCTAAAATGCTCTGAGAATTACTGTTTAAATTCTTGATAAATCAGAGGCTGCAAATGGGTACCTCAAATAAACAGGTATGCTAGAGACCTGGTCCTGTTAAAGGAAGCTGCTAGCTGAGGGTTCCCTGGCAGGGGTGTGGAGCAGCTGAGGCTGGAGGACAGCAGTGCAGCAAAAGAGCAGAAGTGAGGTCTTTCGAAAAGGCCCAGAAAGTACGCTTGAGGCTGCCTTTGAGAAACACGTTGAGCCCTTGATCCTTCCCCATTTCAAACCACTTAGTCCTAAAGTAGGGCAGGCATCTCACTGCAGGCTAGGTGGTGGCTCAGCGT